TATATTTAATTTATAATAGAATCGTAATATTGTTTTCCCGTGCATCGCACGGGCCACGCACTAGTATATATAAAGAAAAGCAACAAAGCATTTAATTTTATTGTCATGCATTAAATTTTATTCTCTCTCCAAAATTTTTAGTATTTAATTTCATTTTCAAGTTACAAAATAACTTGTTTGAATGCCATAAATTATACCAATCAAGGAGTTACAAAATTGTACTCAAATTTTAAGTTACACCACTCATGAAAATGGCCGGGTGTATTAGCATAAAAAAATAGTTGCAACGGCTCTTCCATAACAATTACTTTATCAAAATCAATTTTGAAAATTATTTTCTTAATTCATATTTTTTTCCATAAATTAAATTATGATTTATTTTTATTTTTTTTTATATTTTTATATTTTTAATGCATGGCCAAAAATCTGTCACGCTCATAATTAAATTGAAATTAAAGGGGAGCATCAGTAATTGCGACTTTGAAGATATGTAGGACTATATTTGTATGGCTTGGCAATTAATACTGTACACACTGTCCATGAGTTGGTAAGTGTAGATAAGCTGCAAATCATGTGTCATCATAAGCCACATCAAAATAATTATCCATGAGTTGGTGCTTATCGTATATAACTGAATTCATTGCAACCCGAGTCAGTAAATAAGAAAGTGGCCGGCCGGGAGACAACGGAGCATATAACGGCATTTATGAAATCTAGTCTTGTATGTATGATCTATATATGAAGTGTAATGTGTATAATATTAATATTTATGTTATTTATGATTTTTCCAAAATGAATTTTTCATTTTACTTATTTTCTAATTTGTATATACTTGAGCTGCAAGAGTGGAGCAAGTTCAGAGCTGTAAATGAGCCGATCGAGTCAATCCCAAATTTACGAAACTCGAGCATGAGCTAGCCCTTATGAAGTTGATAAACAAGCTCAACTTCAGCTATTATACGAGCCTTAACGAGCTCATAAACAAGCTCGAGTTTGGTCCGTTAACGAGTCAAGCTCGTTACTTAAGCGAGATCAAGCTCAACCCACTTATCAAACAAGACAGTCAAACTTGAGCCTTAACTAGCCAAATTTATGGACATCTGGTTTCGTTTAATAGCTCTATATATGTGCAAAACACTTTACAATTTTTGTTGTCTTCAATGACCTATTTGGATATCACACTAACAAAAATATAATTAATTCATTCATTTTTTAGTGTTTGATAGTCTAATGTAAAGTACAAAATAATATTTAAAAAGTCGAGTCATAATTAACTGGTCTTGTTTACTTCGCTTGACATGACATGATAAGTAAAATTATCCCTTAATATCTAACGTTTACATAAAAGGATTGAGACAGGATTAAACTGATGTGGCGCACCTGTAAACTGCGGGCATGGAGAATATATTAGTCCTGCCCCCCACTCAGGATTTTTTTATCCCAACATTTTCTTTACAGATTTGCGGGCCCCACTGTTTGAGACAATCTCATCACACAAAATAAACACTGGACTAAGTGCTGACGTATAAAGTTGTCATCATTATTTTCTCTAATCCCATCAACCAAAATAAATGAGGCCTGAATGTCAATGAGATCCATTCATCCTGTCTAATAGCCATTTTTTATTTGCTATTAAACTTTCGCTACTGCAGAAAATTCACTAATTAAAAATAATTGATCACAAAATTTTGAAATAGTACAATTGAAAATAAAAGTATACGTTCACTAGTTAGTTATCCAAAATGTCAATTAATTCATATGTTAGAGTTCAATGTTCGGAATTGAATTAGCTGCTGGCTAGTCTCACACAAGCAACAAAAATTTCAGAACGTCTTTGTACATGACATATTTATACATATAGCAATCAACCACATGAACACAATATGTGAAAAATGGAAGTAAACATGAGATTTGGTCCCTTCGATACCTGCATTTAGGAATCTATATAGTACAAACAGTACCAACTCTATCCAAGAATATTCATGCACAAATTAAATGAGACCATACAGACCGTAAAAGACTGTATAAAAGTTGATTGATGATGAATGATTTCACAATTAGAAATAAACTACAAGAAAATCACGCATGATTCCAAAATCAGACAAATCCACACTCGATCCCGGGTCAATTAGTTAATGATGCAAGCCAATCTTTCTTGGAGTGTGGTTAGATCAAGGCTTGCCATATCCGTTGCCTGCACAAAATGATAATAGATATTATTAATCCATATCACACATGATGACATGAAAAACCAGTTACCTTACCTAGCTACCATTCGAAGTGTCGCATATAAATTTGTTATATGATTGTGCTTATGTTATGATCAGACAAAAGGAGATACGGTTGGTTAGGTTTATGAGATCTGCCATGGCTGTCGTCTGACAATATCATTGATTCCATCTGCAAATGCTTTATTTTGTTTATTAAATTAAAATGGAGATAATTGGAGGGAGAGTGGGTCCCACATTTGCTGGTTTTTAGGCCATGTTTTTAAATTTGTTTTAATGGAGAGTGACTTGTACAGAGTTGCTTTGATTATTTTATGATAATATAATACAGGGTTCATTGATATTTACCAATAGATTTAGCAAAAGAAGGGTTTCAGCGCCCTCAATTGACATTAAACGTTCACACTTGTAAAGAAGAAAAAGAAGGCTTTACTACTTACGAATTTTCAAAAGATTTGGTTAACAAGGTTATTGGTTTTTTTTCCCTTGACATTTTACTGTTGGCCTTTTGAAACTTTAAGAGAATATTTAACTATTATTACTTTGACTATGGTAAGCAATCACAAATAATTATTTTACATTTCTTAATATCATAATCGTATTTTCTTAATGTTATAATCAAAAGAGTTATTGAGAGCGTATGTCTAAAAAGTTATCATAATTCTCATATTTATAAGAGATTTAATGACTTGTTCTTTAAGACAGAATTTTCTTAATTAACAAGAAATCAAATCATCCAGTCAATGAACAAATATGTACATAGTCTCTTTAGTAATGTTCCCCAGATATTCATATATAATAAAACTTTAAACTGGTATATATCATACAACTTTAAATAGTAGAATCCGAATCAAGCCCAACTAGTATACGTAATGAATGCTATATCATGGTAACTTAGTATCAATAAAGCAGTTATTAGACAGATAGAGAGAGAGTCCAAGTTTATATGATAATTTATAAAATAAAATTGTTATAATGTAAAAGATATCCACAGTTGCCCATTCCCAACAACAGGTGATACTACTTGATAGTTGATACCCAATAATAGAGCATATTCATTACTACAATTAATCCTGGGAGATCTTTACTATGCTTATTAAGCTTATCCTTATCCTGACAGAACTATTTTCAATTATTTTAATTGAGACAATTAAACACATATATTACCTGGCTGTTAGAGGGACAGAATCTGTTGCAGGCAGCACAGGGCTCGATTCTAATGTACGGCAACAAGTATTAAAGATATTTTTCTATTTTTTATAAAATAAATAGCCAAATTATTTCACAATTCCACGGGGAAATGGGAACCTTCCTTTATTATGGTAGTTATGTATGGATAATAATTCGGGGAATGGAAATCAAATTATGAGGTGGACTGGAGTTAGCATAGCGCTAAAATTATTATACTTTTAGATATAACTAAAAACATAACAATGTGTTCAAATAGTGATGCGTATACATGCTATTTGCTTAATCACCGACCACATTAAAATGTGTCCACTAGTCATGTGTTAATATTTTATTATTTTTTAATCATAGGCCGGCCCTGGCCTAGGGCGACCTGGGCAACAACCCAAGGCCCAGTTGAATAAGGGCACCAGACTGGCCCATTTATATTATTCCTTTTATCTCATTTTTATTTTATTTCGAAAAAAAAAACATAAATTAAAATAATTAATATGGTCTTCTTACTTTTTCTCTTTCCTAACATTTTTCTACTCACACCTAGACACTACTCTCTCTCTCTCTCTACTTAATTATATGTTATATATTTTTATATTATTTTAAGTATGAAAAAAAAAATTATATAATTTACTTTTTAAAAATTATGTTAATTATATAATTTACTTTTTAAAAATATGTTATTTTTTGATAGCTATTATATTTATTTTATAGTTTAGATTTGCTTCACTAATTAAAATTTTTTCAATGAAGTTTAAAGTGTGTTTAATGTATAATTAAACATATTTAATCATATTTAATGAAAACATATATTATCTTTTAGAATGTGACATCATGTCTTTATCTTTTATGGCTACAATGATATTTTATTGGTCTACTTATAGTTGCTAGCTTTGTTTATGAGGTTGCATTTATTTTTTTAGATTACTAGTTGGAACTCGGCTGTGCACGCACAGCCAACCCCAATTCAATCAATAATGTAGCGAAAACTTTGCACACTATAAATATGTAAAATTAGTCAATCCGTATGTGTCAAAAAGATATAAAAAATAATTGAAATTTTAAGTACTAAGATTAAAATATATTCACACAATAAAAAAAACGCTACACAATAGTAAGAAGGTAAAAGTTAATGAATGATAATTTGCAGATTATATTTGAAATTATTAAACAAAAGAATTATACATTTTATGTGAGGAAATTGTATATTTTTCGTAATGCAGCTAAAATTCATCAATTTATAGAAAAGTGTTTGTTTGAAGATAAAAATTAAAAATAGAAGCCAAGTACAACACTACCAATTAAAGATAACAGATGGGTGCAGAGAGCAAAGTCTAATGCATTACTTTAGGCAATTGGATACACAGTAAGCCACCTGCAATTTTGCCACTCTGAATGTTAAATGGCTCTGACCATTAGAATCACCTTGCTATTCCTGTTACTATTTAAGGCTATAATCTCTGGTTTAAGCAAAATGATGATAAAAGTGGATGTCATAACAATAATATAATTTACTTAGATTGAATGCAGCTAGTACCGAAAATAAGTCAAGTTTCACTATTAAATATCTGAAGGCATTGGAGTTGTGACTTATGGGATAATATCATGAAACAAGCAAAATAATATTTGGTGCCTTTGAAAAATCCTCTTCTCGGGAGCTTCATCATGTAGCCTACTATCAAGCTCTCCCCATGCATTGCCTATAAAAAGCATCAAGAGATGAATAACTTTTGGGAGGTTGGTGAGCTAAACAACTCATGCCATAGATCTACAAACAAGCACGTAAAAGAATCGAAATTGAATTATCAGGATGAGATGCACGTAGCAGAAAAGAAATGTCACAAAGACAACTTACAATAATGAGAGAGGTTTCCAAAATTAGCACGTTAAACTGGCGATGGGGACTACAACTTCTACATAACTCAAAACATCAAGGGCTATAATTCTTTCACAATTTATACCTCACACTCAACACATGAATATACGGCCTAAACCATCGAGCCCAACGATAAGTACTTAGAGGGCAAGGATTTTCCACCTTTTTGAAGAGAAACATCATTACCACAATAGAGAAAGGCGATTTCCAACATTACACATTGTTGCATACCACAAGATTACTGTTTTCGAAGGTTGTTGTGTATTCGGTGCATACATTTGAAAATAGAATTTATTAATTTTTCTCTAAACTGAAGAAACTATATTTGAAAAACAATAAATGCGTGTACAAGAGTTCAATTGTTTCTCCATTTGCACCAGAAAACACAGTGAAGATCTCAAGGCTTCATCATTCATGAAATAAACATGGACGGTCTTTTATGATCCCCGTAATTATTTGGAACTCTTAAGGATCATCAGAATAAGCTAAGCATAAAAAAGAACTCTAACATTTGCAACGTGATAGCTTAAAAGGTGCCAACTTTAGTCGGACAAATGGAATGGACTTACTTTGCTAACCTTTGAAAGCTCTAAACAAACAAGACCAAAAGTTGTAGCTGCCACCCCACCACCCTTTTGTGTAATCTCAAAAATCCCAAACAAATCCAGAACAGGCCAAACACATATTAAAATTACAAAGTAAAAGATATATTAAAAATTGACAGAATTTCATCAAGATTGAGAGAACATAAAACGGAAAAAAAAACAAAAAAACCAAAATTAAAATTATTCAGAAGGAAGTTTGCTATCTGCCACCATTTCAGATTATTCAGTAATCTGCCTCAGGTTTCAAAGTCTCCATGTTCATTTTTTGGTTTTACATAAGTAACCAATAACTCTTTCAAATTTTAAGGGGTGACAATGTATTTTATCTTGTGAATAGCAACAGTAAAACAAATAATAATATATAACACATCCAGGGGAAACAATATTTTTTATTATTTATAATGTATATATTAGAAAAACATTTAATCAACAACAATGATCATGTGAACTTAATAAGCAAACAAAAGAGAAAATGTTGAACCCAAGCCATAAAAGTTTTTCTACAGATCGATAGGTACCATATACCCTCTCCATTCATTCTCCATTCGTTGTGTAGTTACTACCTGTATATATTCACAATCCAAAAGTTTCATTTCACAAAATATTCAACGCAAATGCATCAATTACATAGAAAACATTACAATGTCTCGTCCACCATGTAGGCCAAAAACAACAAAATCAATAAACGCATACCATCAACTTGGGTTACAGATATTATCCGAGTGAAAGAGAGATCAAATTTTTACAGGACATGCTCAAAAATCCGCTTTGAGTAACCCCGAAAAATTATTCCCAATAGAAATGTTTCTAAATGAAGACAATTTAAGATCGGATAACGAATTAACTATAAGTACCCAAAGCTTTAAACCAGAAACTGAGCTTGTAAAGACGTTTATCTATTCTATCAAGTTTATGATTATCCAGTTAATACTTGACCGAGTAGAAAAGGAAAATAATACTCTTCTATCGTCCTAGAGGCGAGAAAAAAATGAAAAGCAACATCAATGCCTAAGGCACACAAAAGAAATAACATATAACATAAAATACGCAAAAAGCATTGTCCAAAGCTCACCAAATTGACAGAAACTAAAAAAGTTTCCACCTTTTGAGAGACGGAACAAACATAAGAATCACATTACATGCACAAATAAGAAAGTAAAATCTTTAATGTGACTGTTTATTAACAGAAAATAAAACTAAATATTATTTTATAGAGATGTGAAAATATCTTAAAAAATAGTTTCCATCATGTGAAAAAATTCTAAAAAAATAAAATAAAACATAAATATGATTAATGAAAACACATTTTGTTGTCATTTGAATCACTCCACAATCTCCATAATTCGTAAATAAGAAAAGGACCATGTATATACCTACACGTTAACTACATATCCCCAATCCTCTATATGTTGTTGATCTAAAGAGAGAAATAAGAAACAATATCAGAACAACTTAAACACATCAACGTATACACGTGGTAGGATTTTTTTTTTTTAACGACAGTATCATGCCCAGAGCTTTAACAAATAGTCTGTAATAATCTGGAAAGTGATATGTTAAAACAGGAAAGAAACAATCACCATTGCTATCAAGCAAATCTAACCAACTACAAAACTCAAAAGATCAACTGATAATACAAAAGACATAAAAAAACCCAAGTATCTTTTTTCTTTCCAGCATAACCAAAGATCATGAGAAGCTTCTAGCATAGAAATGAAGGTAAATAATAATCACGAACAGAAAAAAGCATAAACAATGGATCATCTTGAAAGAAAAGGATAAAAATCACCGCTGGATACAACCCTTTGATCAAGAAGCTAAATTCTTGGTTTACCAAACTACAAAGCACCATGAAAAATAGGAAAACAGAGAGAGACAGAGAGTGAGAGAAATAAAATAAAATATACAAAACAATGTTAAAAGAGAGCATCTGAGTCATATTTGTCACCTCCTAAACATGTGATCCTCCTGCTGGAATTTAAATGCCAGTCAATGCTTACCTTGTGATCATCCTCCAGCTGCATCGCAAACCCACGCAGTAGAGTTCTTCCCTCGAGTAGATATTTTCTTTAACATCCTGAGGCTTTCGGCCCAACATATTGTAATAATTGATGAGAAAAGTCTTATAATCTAGTTATTCACCTCGAGGCACTGAACGTGATAACAAAAGAAGTTTGTGACACTTTAGAAGAAGGTAACTACTTTCAGACATGTATGTTCTTAAAATTAGATATTGAAGCTGTGAATCAAGTGGAAGTACGTGGAGCATCATTTATGTGAGAACATGATACTATGATATGGGTTATCTAAAATACGCACTTTATAGAGAAGAGCATAAAGAGTGATCAAACTATCAAAACTTTTTAAGCCAAGTGCCTTAAAGTTGATATATCATAGGAATAGAGTAAATTCGGAATCCATTCGATCCTTTCTCAAAAACAACAACAAACAGATGCTACAAAACTCTCACCTCATAATATCATCTTCAGTGTTATAGAACCCACCAGTTTCAGTCGACTTGGTCAACTCCCCAGGCAACACAGTATCAAGGCGTTCTGGATCTCACGTGAGAGACTGTCAGCTTCTTGTTCTACCTCGTGAGCCATGGGTGAAGGATCTGGTAGAGTTCTCGTGGGTGTTCTTGCAATTGATGGGAGTAGCTTCAGGAGGACCACTGTCTGCTACACAGTGCTAAGTCAGACGATCAAAAACTTATCTAGATTGGATCAAAATAAAAATTTCACCTATTTAATGAATAACCCAACCAAGTTTGATAAAGAAAAGACTAAACACAAGGTATTTTGGTTTATTGTTATGATGTTATAATTTGTGAATCACATTCTACCAAGCCTTTCAACCCTTACAATGAACTGAAACACTCGAGTAACCACAAACTTCCTCACCATCAAACAAACAAGTGAGACAAACTATAATCCCATTCCTTAAACCTGAGCTAAAATGTGCTGGTTCTTTTTCTATTTTTCACTATCCCCCTTTTCCGCATCATTTGGTTCGCAATACAAGCATATCAATAGGTCATGATTCAATAACAAAAACAAGCTTCTGCGAGAGACTAAACATCATATCATTTAAGAATTGGTAAAATAAGACTCAATATAAGTCCCAACAAATTTAAAAAAAAAAAAAAAAGACTAAAACAGAAAGCAACCTGCAATTTCATCCAGACAAAAAGTCCCTAACTTGGTGCCAACTTTTCTGCTTCTTCAACACCACACTGCACACACATCTCTCTGAAACTAAGCTTCTGCACAAATGAATCCATGACACTTCATGCCACACTCCCCCTCACGTGCTTAATCGCCGCCACCACGTCCCGTCCATTCAGAGGCTCGTTCCTCTTGTCCTCCAGGTACTACACTATTTGCTTGGGCATGCGCTTGATCCATTTGGGTGTCTGCACGCGCGAGCCCTTGTTCCGCTTCAGGACGCCAAGTACTGGGCTTTGGCCTTGAATATGCGTCGTGCGTCGTCGTCGGACAACGGATTCTTAGGGTCTTTGTGTCTAGGTTTTGGCTTGTCGAAGAGTGGAGACTACGGGTCGAGTTTGAGGGAACAGAGGACTTTCGGCGGCGGCAGTTTTGAGAGGATTGGAGGTGGGTTTACTGCGAATGATGGGAGGAAGGAGGATTATAGAGAGATTTTGTATCGGAACTCAACCATGAGAGAAGGGGTGTTGAGGAGGCTGAAGACTTAAAGCGACAGTCTGAGGAGGTGGAATGGCGTGTGAGAGAATGGAAAAAATCTGTTGCTTAATGCTTAAGAATTAAGTGTGTGACAGCCCTCAACGACGTCGGTCGTTCTTAATGGGGATGTCACATCGCTATGTACGTAGGACTGCATAACATATATTTAGGTGGTGCATTTACGATTCGAACCCCCAAAAGGCAATTAAAGCAGGGTCATTTAGGCGAATTCACAGCAAAATAACTACGCAAAACGGTGTCGTTTCGATACACAGATTATTTGTAGAGAAAACTAAATGCAGCTTCCGAGTCTCGGAAAAAAAAAAAAGAAAGCAAGAGTGAAAAATTGTCTAGCCCAAAAAATGCCGCGTGGAAGCCATACAATTGAACACCACAAAGAAAGAAGTGGCCACGTGTTAAGCACACAATGCCTCTTATTTTTTCTTATAAGAATAAGAGAGATATAACTTTATTATATATTTTTTCGAAAAACATAAATGAATTATGAATTTTATCATTTTTTTTATTAAATAATACTCGGGCATTATTTTCGTGTTTGGCCCATGGCCTTATAATCTTCAGGACCTCGTTGTTGGCTTGGGGGACGAACAGTACGAGAAAATTGTTATATTCCAACGAAAAATCTTACTATAATATATTCCAATAGAAATTTCAACAAATATTTCAATTGTATAGTTTTCGTTGAAATGATTCCAATGGAAATTCCAACAAAAATATTCTATTGGAATGAGTTTTTCATTGAAATTTTAGATGGAATTCAATGATTCCAACGGCTTTTTCCAACAATTTTTTACCGTATGAATTTCTATTGGAATATGCAATTTTCATTGGAATTTGTATTTCCATCCCCATTGGAAAATCTACTGTTGGAATCGTGAAATTCTAATGGAAAACTCATTCCAACGGAATATTTTTGTTGGAATCCATTGAAAAATTCTAAAAGAAATAATAGCATTGAAATATCCATTAGAACTGCTGTTGAAATTCCAATAAAATATATTTTCGTTGCAATTTTTCATTAAAACTAGTGTGTACCCGTGCGATGCACGGTAACAATATTACATTAACAATATTATAAATATACCTAAAGTTGAGTCACTCAATGACGAAAGTGGAAACTACTATTGATCTTATTTAAAAAGGGGAAGAAAAAATAATAATTATATATTAAAGTGTCGGGGTCAAACAATGTAAAATTATTTTGTATAAGAGAATATAAATTTTACACTATTTTGTATAATAGAATATAAAATTTGTATATTTAATATTGAAATACCTAAAATATTATATTAGTATATGTAAAAGTATTCAAAATTTTCTATATTATTTTTAAAAGATGTAAGTCACCTACAACTTTTCTAAACAATTTTAAAAAGAAAACATATCTAAAAACATTTGAATTTAACATTATGTAAAAAAAAATTTCTAGACTATTTTACAAAATAAAGCATGTCTACAAATAATTGAATTTAACATCAATTATGTATATGTGTATATGTGTATATATAGACGAATATGTAAAAAACAAATATCTAAACAATTTGTTTAAAGTAACTAAAATATTATAAGGCTAATTTAATAAACACCTTCGGTCAAAAAAAAGGAAAAAAAAAAAATATATACACATTAAATCAAATATAATGTTTTGAAATTTCTGCCTAAAAAGTTTAAATGAAAAGGGAAATAAATCAACACAATATCTATTATTTTGTTAACCTAAAACTAAAAATAGGAAAAAGGGAACCATCACAAAAACCATCGCATGTATTATTTTGTTAACCTAACAAAATAGGAAAAAGAAAAACATCTTTTTTGTTAACACTATATCACTATTTATTTAATGATTTTAGAGGGAAAATAATGATTTTAGCGGGTATTTAATGATTTTAGAGGAAAAATAATGATTTTGGCGGGTATTTAATGATTTTGGAGGGAAAATAATGATTTTGGCGGGAAATTATAAAAAAGTTATTCTTTTAATATAATGATAGATTTCATCTTTTTCTTCTACTGGAAAATCAAGCCCCGTTACAAAACTATCTTTAACACACGTAGACAAGCCCAGCCCATTACCTTAGGCACAACACAGGCATCCAGGCCCAAAAAGTTGGCGATCCTTCCCTTTGTTAGAAGTCATTACTCCTATAACTTGAGTGCTCTCTTTTTTATTTATTTATTTATTTTGTTTCACTAATAAAATGATGATATTTCAAAAGTAAACTTATCTAAATGGAACTCCAACAACAATCACAATCAATATTTCAATGTTATTGTTTATGTAATAATTTTTTAATGGGTTCCAACGAAAATATTCGTTTGCGATGATCTTTCATTGAAATTCCGGTTGGATTTTGAAAATTCCAAACAGTAGATTTTCCAACGGTTGAAATATTGGTGAAAATTAAAATTTCAATAGAAATTGCATATTTCAAATCCCTTCCGTAATACACCGTGGGAACCATCAAATTTCAATTAAAATTTCAATGTAAAACTCATTCTGACGGATTATTTTCATTGGAATCATTCTAACGGAAGCAATACCTTTGGAATATTTGCTGAAATTTTCATTGAAATATATTACCGTCGGATTTTTTTTGTTGGAAGGTGACATTTATTGTAGTGGGTCGACAACTTTGTTCAATTACAATTTTCAGTTTTAATGTAGAATTTGTTTCTATTGTACTTGCTTAGTATAGAACTTGAATTCGGTTTCTTTAAGTGGTTTATGCTCAGTTTTGTTTATTTGGTTCCGACTTAACGATTTTTAGTCGTTATGTGTTCGGTCATGATTCATTGCACGATCTACTTTCATGTTTTTCAGTTGTTGGACATAAAACACACTAACTCCATTCATGTGATAGAGACGACCTCCAAAGTCAAAATTAGTTTTCATGCCAATTGTTCAACATCATGAACAATGAACAAAGAGATTGCAAAAACAATCAAGAACATTAATGAACAACTCACCATTTTAATATAAGCAAGAAAAATCAAGAGAGTTCATGTCCCAACTGCAAAGGAAAACACTCACATATATACACATACACTATGCACAAATCATAGATAGTGCCACTGCCAAAATTAATCAAATTTAATTTATCACATCTGCTAGCCTTGTTTGAAGCGCAGTTAAATCAACGCTTGTAGGATCATCGACCTGCAAAATGATGATTTATAACTATAAGCGAACAAAATAAAGCATATATATGTACCGAGATTATTATTGTAACTAAACCACTTTCTGCTCATTTATTTGTTCTCACCTCAACTTGAATCTTATGGAGAGACGAGCATTCATCCCCGGCTCGTGTAGAAACACAGTTAATTACAGTTAACTCCGGTTTTTGAAGCAAATAGGCATAGACTTTGGAGAGGGGCAAAAAGTGTTCCTCAGTACTATTCTGGCTGCAAGTGCTCATTATTAAAATCTCTAACCCAAACTTGCATAGAATTACCTTCACCGTATTATTCATCACCGATTTATTACGACCATTAGCACTTAATGTTTTGAGCTTATCTCTTCTGATTTTCATCTCTTCGATTTTCTTTTGCATGAAGCGAATGTAATTTGCCGCTTGGTGTAATTGATCCGATACAGAGCGTTTTCCCTGAGGATCACAATCACAAATTAAGGGGACTAACTAAAAGATATTTTCAGCAAAAAAGTAATTGCAATCATGGATTGCTTAATTAGTTAATTATTAATTACCTTGATAAACTCCAGGGGTAGAAGAGAACGAAGAGAAGCGTATAAGCCGGCCATTTCTTGCCGTCTCTGCCTTTCCAAATTCCGGTGAATGCTTCTCCGAGTCTCGTGATTGGTGTCTTTATCCCCATCATTATCCCACATCGATTTCATAGCTGGTCTTCGCCTCTTTTTGACTACTCCACCTTCATTCTTACACTCATTAATCCCCTCAAAATGGGCACAATCATCTGCTAGCAGGTCCTCCAACACCTTATCTTGCTGCCAATCATAGAATGAAGGTATAGCCTCAACTGACAGCCCATCACTTTGTAAATGAAACATTTTTTTTTTTTAATATCCCAAATACTTGGAAATTTGATCATGTATAAGAGGAAAAATAAAATAATTTATATATGAAATGTGTGGACAAAAATGAAAAATATAGTGTCACGCTTAAATAGAGAGGCACAGTCTGCAATGCCAACACTAACTTAAACCGCACACATTTAATTTTAGGGTAATTACTAATCACAATTATATAATGACAACTTGGGAGAATGAGGGTAACAGTACTGCAACTGTTGGTGATTTGTTAATTATTTTGGAATAGCGACTAATTAAAAAGGATTTTTTGCCTAGTAGAAAAAAAAAATTGTAGGGAATATTGATGTGACATTACACAGATCTTAGATTTTATTGGTGGGAGGAAAAAAAATAGTCATAGGATGCGATTTAATTTAATTGCACCAACAGTAATCAAATCCTTGAATGATGATGATGCGCTAGTAATTATCATACGACATTTTTCTAACTTATACTAAAGAAATTAAGATAAAACTTACATGCGCTATAATTCGTAGTCAGTTGGTAGTTGTTTATTGAGCAGGGATGATTTGATCTTGTTAATTGTTATTATATATGTGTCATGTGTGATCATAAATAATAATGCTTGGTGACTATTTGAATTGCCACCTGTCCATGATTGATTAATAAGGTTAAGTCCACGTAATTAGCAAGTAAAACATGTGTATTATTATATAAACTCCATCAGGAGTAATAGCAAATGGAATGATAATTGATGTCGGTCAATACATATAACAAATCTATTACAATGTTTTGGGTCTAATTTTGTTTATGTGTCATGTAAATAGAGTAAATTAAAACTATATAAAAGTATCACAATTCACTCCAATTCAAATAGACTGAGTCTCTAATTAGAGAATATATTTTTTAGACAATGTGTATTTCTTATGTGGCATGTAAATATTTTTAAATGAACCAAAAATATTGTGGATGTCAGTGCATTCGCATTTTATTTCATTTATTTAATGACTAACGACATTCTCTCTCATCTGTATCATATCCACATTATATTTCTACTAAATATCTTTCTATTTAAAATTATTTTGGATTCATTAAACTTAGATATTAAATATTGTGGGGTCCACTAAACAAATGAAAGTATAAAAAAATAAAAGCAACTTACAAGGTAAATAATATTTTTTAATTATTTTTATACCCACATTTTTTAATTATTTTGGCCCTACATTTTCTTTTTTAATGTTATTAAAAGCAATGGGGCCATGGTTTTTTCATTTAAATGAATGAAAAACATTGGTATTAATGGCTCCACATTCCATTTATAGATGAGTATAAACCTCACCAATGTGGATGCCCATACTAGTTTTATTTACATCACTACTTCATAATATACATATACCATTTTGGAATTGTTTCAAATATTTTAAATCGTATATAATTTTTTATTATCCATATGAAGAATGAAAATGAAGTGTCATAAAGACATTTAACAGAGAAAAAACATAAAATCGATTATTGCTCGTTACTAGCATTGTCGCGCGGTCGCGGGCCTGCGTTCGCTGGCGAGTGCACCGGGCGAACTCGAGCAGGCATGTGCGCAGGCATGGGCTACTGTGGATGGGTTGACGAGCGATGTAGGCGAGCGTGCGCGGGCATGTGTGGCGTTGACGAGCAACATCGAGCGAGCGTGCCCTGGTATGTGCATGCGTAGCTCAGGGCTGGGCCGCGGTTGTGCGGGAGCTAGGTTGCGGGTCCACCAAGCCTGACTGGGCCAAGCAAGCGGAATTTTCCGACGACTTATTCCGACAAGTTTATGGGCACTTTTTCGGCGGCGTCAAGCATAGGGCTGCAAACGAGTCGAGCGGCTCACGAGCCGCTCGCGAGCACTTGAGTCAAAGCTCGACTCGAGCTCGAGTTTGACCGAACGCGAGTCGAGCTCGAACATGAACTCGAGTTGAGCTCGAACACATATTTTGTATTGTCGAGCGGCTCAATATATATACTAAATTACTAAAATAGCCATTATATATATTTAAATATATAACACAAGTGCTTAATGGTATTTTCACTTAAAATTTTCGAGCCGAACTCGAGCATTTGATTTCGAGCCGAGCTCGAGTTATTGTATTTTCTTATTGAATCGAGCTCGAGCTCGAGCAGCTAAAAAAAAATTCAATCCTGTTCGATAAGGTCAATACTCGACTCGGCTTGGCTCGTTTGCAAGCCTAGTCAAGCATGTCTCCGGAGTGCATTTTCCTACAAAATAAAGTATAAAAAGAGAAATAAAAAGCACAAGACACCAGAATAAAACGAAAATACATAAACGAGCAAAAACGACTAAATAGATTAAGAAAGACCTAAAATAAATTACAGTTAATACAAATTAAACACTTAAAAACATATAAAATAACAACAAAAACATAGAAAACAACCAATTCGATAAACAGGCGTTTCCGGGCTGGTTCGGTGAATTGTCGGTTTCGGGCCGGTCTGGTTCACTAGAAAATAAATAAAAATAATAATAATAAAAATTCAAAAAAAAAGAAAAGGACCGAACTGTCGATTTCAATTCCAGTTCGAAACTGGCCCGACAGTTCAAATAATATATATATGTGGCCGGAACCTTCGGTCAAACCACGCGCTCGATTCAAGGCCCAGTCGGTGGTCATGTCTAAGTGCGGGAGGTGGGTTTAATTGGCTTTTCGGATTAGGGAAAAATTGCTTTTGGCCGAATTTAAATTCATGTGCCAGCCAATGTACACAAATATAAGTACAAAAAAAAAATAAAAAAAATAAAAAAAAAATGTACACAAATATAAAAATCGTTTTTGTAGTTGTGAAATCAACAGCAAAAAATTCCGTACAATAATTACCAACGGAAAATATAAAATAGCATGGGAAGTAAATAAATTGAACATAAAGTCCAGAATCAATAACCTAACATTCAATAAGTGTATCTGGGCCAGCTAATTAATATGTGTGGTGTCTGTAAAAAGGATTGTAATAATATAGTATTATGATTAAAAAAGTATTCTAATCTACTGTCACATGTCAACGTGATTAGTTTTTATTATCTTAATTTATAACCATTTTGTGGATAGCGACAAATAATAATAAATTGCTCGACTTTATTTTGTATTTGTTGGAATTATAGAATGCAGCTACTCCTCTGTATTAGTAAATGTGTCAATGTTATGTGTCATTTCTGTTGCTTGTGGAATTCTAGATCTTAAATTTAAGTGTTAACTTTTTTATAATCCATGTATAGTCTGGATTCTATCTATACTTATTAAGACTTTTATTTAAAATTATAAAATAATTGACTAATTTAAACTATAATCCATATAGTCTGGATTATACTCATATTGCATGTATAAAATAATTAAAATTTTCTATTTTCTTTATTATGAAACTAATTCATCTATTAATATTTAATACTAGTTAAAAATTAATAAAATTATATATAAATAAAAATTTTTATCTATAAATTCATTACTTATAAATTAAAAAAATTATTATAATATAATCGTCTAAGTGAAAAGTCGCATTTTAAATATAAATAGTAATTTAATTTTTTAAAAAGTGAAAAATTTCATTTTAAGTACAAATAATAATGTAATTTTGTAAAAGTATTAGAAATTTAAATAAAAGATATTTTCTATTACATTTTTAATAATGCAAATTTTCTAAAAAAATATTTGAAATTTAATTAAAACAAACTTCTCACTTACAATCTTTTAAACTTCTCACTTAAGGTACACTTCACCCCTATAAAACCACACCACTTCCCCTAAATATATAACTCTAATTGGTAATAGAGTTGGTTTGATCTAGAACCTGCAACCTGTGAATGACCTACAAGTGAGTAGACTTATTAGGATATTATTTGTTGGTTGTTCCACATTGATTATATAACTCTATATGGTGCCAGAGTTAGCCTGATATAGGATCTGCAATGATTTGATATACCAGGCCTACTCTAGGTCTTGGTCTTTGAATGAATTAGAAGTGAGAGGACGTGTTGGAGTATTACTTGTGAATTCTTTCGCATTGATTGTATAACTCTAATATGGTATCAGAGCTGCCATGATATAGGACGTGCAATGATATAATCTACTAAGTCTATTCTGGGTCTTGATCTATGAATGACTCAAGTGAGATGATGTGTTTGAATATTACTTGTCTTGGCCTATGAATGACTCAATTGAGAGGACGTACTGTACTGGAATATTATTGTGAGTTGTTCCATATTGATTTTATAAGACAAAGGAACCTAATTTATAAGTTTAGTGGATTACTCATCTCATCACCTATTGATTTTGTAATGAAATATGAATAAAGTGTAGGGAGTACCACTGTTTTGTAATGAATATTAAGAAAGTGACAAATAGACTTGCTCTCTTAATGTAGCTTCACCCGACCGCACCATTCTTCCTCCTAATCGTTAACTCTGCTATAATGAGTATCTCACTCAATCTTCATTTGTGGATTTTTCTTTATCAACATCAATAGTTCTTGCTTTTCTTTAGATTTTTTTAGGGTTAATTGCATATAAAATTCTAACCTTTTGTTAAATTGCAGATAAAATTTCACTTTATAAGTTTGGCAAAAAAAATACTAACCTTTCATACGTGTTGCAATTGTGTCTCAACCGCCACCCGCCGCCGGCCAACTTCGCCGGATGTTGAAAATTTTTACATGATCTTGTAGCTCTCCTCCGTGCCGACAACATATCCGAGTTTCACGAAAAAATTCCGATTATCTCCTTATCGTTGGAATTTTTACGTGAAACTCGGATATGTTGTCGGCACGGACGAGAGCTACAAGATCATGTAAAAATTTTCAACATCCGGCGAAGTTGGCCGGCGGCAGGTGGCGGTTGAGACACAATTGCAACACTTATGAAAGGTTAGTATTTTTTTTGCCAAACTTATAAAGTAGAGTTTTATCTGTAATTTAACAAAAGATTAGAGTTTTATCTGCAATTAACTCTTTTTTTTTAATAGCAGGCCCAATATGTGTTTTATGCCGTCCAACAACTAACTCATACTTCTTTGGGCCCAAAAGTCCGTTAAATAGCAAGCATGACATGTGTTTCTAGAAGCCAAGAAAGTATCATGTAAATACATACAAAATGGGCAAGCGTAGTATGCTTCCAAAAATGGAAAAGTTGGGCATAACTAAGCAACTACACACAAAAAACCAAATTTCATTTTACAGAAGAAACCTGTACGAGGATGCGATCATACAGGGGATGATCATTTATTTTCGAAAGATGTGTAAAGATAATAACTACTGGAAAATAAATATTTTCCTCGATTGTCCTTATAAATATATTCGTCTATATCATTATGAGTATGCTTTCAGAATCTGCAAGGTTAGGGCTACTATGTGCATTTGCATTATACCCAAAGTTTGAAGTCTGATGAGTTCATGTGGCAGTTTCATCAGCATACTGTTTACTGAAATATCTCAAATCAAATAGGAGAGAGCTTTTCTCAACTTTTAAGTGAAACACATCACAAATTTGGCAAATGGAAACTGGGAATGAGCACTCGGGTTTATTGTGATTCTGCTTCTTATCCAACTTTCACGCACCAGTAAATAACATTGCACTCTCGATCTCATGATCAACTCATGTGGAGGATTCAATTGTCTATCAACAATCCACTTATACAGCCCTTGAAACTTTAGCCTGGCTAGAAATATAAACATAAACACACCTTTCAAAATCACGAACACTATCGACATTTCTTTCCATTTACAAACTAAATATTTGCAGGAGGTGCTCATGAAACGATAACAAACCTCTGTGTCTGAGTTATCAATATGTGCTTGATCGCCCGACATTTACAATGAGCAGCCAGCAATAGAATAAAGTGAAGACTATAAACTTAGTAAGAACTTGGTGAAGAATGCAAGTGGAAACAGCAGGTCCACGACGTACTAAATAAAACGAGATGGGAATAGCAAGAGAGATCAACAATATTTAGTAGCAAAACAAAACGAATGCCTCCTCACATTCCCAAGTAATGATCCATAACTTTTTGAACCACATAGCAACTCAGTAAAACACATGAAAAGATATAAGGCGGCAGCCAAATACAGTAGTGGTACAAAATAATAAGAGCAAAAGTAGAAAGAAAGCCAAGACCATAGTATAGAGAAGTCATAAGTTTCAAGTACTGAGATCCAATCAAAATAATCAAATCCAGACCCATACTCGCCGAAATACACAGAACTCAATATTATCAGCACTTCTACAGTATTTATAAGATGTGGCCTTGAATTTCCTCAGAATGCCTGGCAATGATGGAATAAAAATACCATCCCTCACTATCAACTTCACTTCTAGTAGCGTCAAATATCGCATTCTGATGAACCAAATTTCACAAGTCGGAAAAATTCAGGATTTCTGAAAGTATTCAGCTACTTTCTTATGTCAGCTCCAAGAAAGTATCAGACACACTTTTCTTATGTCAGTTTCAAGAAATGTATCTTACACTCTTATTTCCATTGGTGATTAACGAGAGAGTACACGATTAAAGTCTGTCCGGCATTTGTGCAAATCTGTGAAAGCTACTGAAAAATATATCGCAGCTGAAAGCGACTAATTATCTGTATAAAGTATTGAAACAAGTAATTATGTAGCCAACCTCCCATGTCAAAGCTCAAATGATAGATGAAGATGTCTGCTACTGTTGCTAGTATGTTTTCATGACCACATTGAAACAAAGACTCCATTGGCTCAAAACAAGGTCCTTTTCTATGTGACATAAATTTGAAAACAATACACCACATGTGTTCGTTTGTCATTATGCCTGCAGTTGCATACAACCACACCAAGCCAATGGTAGTTTTTCACCTGGGGCACTCCTCCAAGTGCAGCATAAATAAAAACCAAAAACAAGAATCAAAAGACCAACATTTCCAGACGAGAAGGGATAGCTCACTGGTAGCACCCTTCACTAGGTAACAATAGGTCCCAAGTTCGAGTCACCCAAGGGAGTGGGGAACCACTATTGATCCTCTTTAAAAAAGAGAGAAAAAAAGAAAAAAGAAAAAAGAAAAAGAAAAAAAAAGGAAAACCAACATCTCAGGTCATAGGGATGGGAATGGCTGACATAAATATGAAACACGAACACAACAGGACATGATTATAGAGATAAGTCACACAGCACCAGAAACACAACTAAAAAAAACACGAAACAAAAAATTTAGTTAAATTTGGACTTGTTATCACATATTCACATTTTATGATCAAATAAAATAAATAACACAAAAACTCGATAGCGAAAAATGAACACGACGCCATAGCACGATTTGCCACCCCTGCACATGCTACACATCAATGTAAATACACATGCTCAATGCTCCTTCGGATATGCCTAAAGAAAAGCATAAAACTACAAAAGCCGGAGCCCATTTAATTCAAACATTCTAAATTCAACACCTTCATTTACACAAACCATTCACAAAGACAAAACACAATTGATCAACAAACAAAACAACTCTAAATTCCTTCACCAAATATCTAAANAAAAAAAAAAAGAAAAAAAAGTCAAAAACAACACCAGAATCTAAAAACTCAACGGACCTTCTTGTGCGACTTGAACGGGAACCGTCCAGGAGGCGAGGGAGAAAACTCCACCGGCAGCTGCGGATACGCCAAATCCCCCGACAGCATCCCCACCACCTCCCTCATAGACGGCCTACGAGCTGGCAACTTCTGCAGGCACAGCAAAGCCACCGTGATACAAAGCAATGCCTGCTCACTGTCCAGAGACTCCCGATTGATCCTCTCGTCAACCAAATCCAGAAGCTTCCCAGTTCGCGCCAGGTGGCGGGCCCACGACAGCAGGTTTGCCCGCTGGAACTCCGACAAGGGCGAACCCGTCACTTGCAGCGGCCTTCGGCCAGCAATCAGAACCAACAGAAGAACCCCGTAACTGTAGACGTCGCACTTTTCTGACACGTCAGCACCTCCACCATATTCGGGCGCAATGTAGCAAACAGTTCCTCTCATACTTGGTGTGCTGCTGATCCCTCCGCTTTTAGGTATGTCCCCACTGACCGAATCGTAACTGTTATTGTTTTTCGTCCTCCACAGATCGCCACTGAGGCCGTCCAGCCACCAGTCCATGCTGCCCTTACTGCCTCTGCTCCGACTCCGGCTTCGACTCCTTTTCTTCTTCCGGCCGACACTCGTCTCGTCGTCCCTTGGCCACCAGTTTTTTTCACTGTAGGAATCGATGTCGCTCATCGATCCTTGCCCGTGTTTTTTCTTCTTCTTTGTTTTCTTTTTCTTTTTCTCGAGCTCCTCACAGTACTCCTCCTTCCACCACTCCCTCGCGGGCCGTCTCTTGTCTTTCTTGTTATCCTTCTCGTCATCTAGGGATTTCCACCAGTCGAGCTGCCTCTTTTTCTTTTTGTTCTTCTTGTCGGGTTTCTTCTCAGCAGATTTGGAGCCCGAGGCCCCTGCTGCTATCCAGTCGCTCTTAGGCCTTTCTTTCTTGATCTCGTTACCGATCCACTCCATCACGTAGTCCTTGACCTTGCCTGAATCATTATCAGGGCCTGCGTCCTGCTTCCACCACCAGTCTTTGCCTGACATGCTTTTCTTTTTCTTTTTCTTTTTGATTTTACGTTCGCTCTCAATGCTAAGCTTGTCGAAGGTCCCTTCTGAGATGCTCGTTTTATCCAGTCCTTCGAGAGGTGAGGCCATCTCCGCCATTGTTCTAGGCGACACGATGGGGCCCGCCTCTGGAGACAGCTCGGGACCCGTCAAGGCCTCCGGCGAGGTCTCAACCCTGACAACCACGCTCTGGGGAGATCTATCGTGATTATGTTGAACAGTGCTGTTTACTTCCTCAAACCCACTTGTTGTAATCACACTCTCTGCGTCCTCCATTACAGATCCATTATCTTCCGTCGCCCCATTTGCCAAGGTGCTGTCTTTTTTCTGCTCACCTTCCACAATAACAGTATCTTCCATTTTAAACCTCGCCAGCCCAAAATCGCCGATCTTGCCATTAAAACCCCCATCCAGCAGAATATTGCTCGGCTTAATATCACCGTGAATAATGGGTGGATCGCAATTGTGATGCAAGTACTCCAACCCTTTGGCTATGTTGAGAGCAATCGAGAACCTCCTGTCCCAATTTCTCAGTTCCTCGCTCTTTTTGTGAAACAGACAATCTTGCAAGCTACCGTTTTCCATAAGCTCGTAAATTAAAAGCATCCGGCGTTTACTGGGGTTCGAGGAAAAACCTAAAACGGAGACGATGTACTTACAGTCGACCTTCGAAGCGAAAAGCAGCTCGTTCTGGAATTCGCGCTCGCCCTGCAGCGACCCGGAGTCCATGAGCTTGACGGCGACGCGGGAGGCGGCGAGGACGGGATCCCCGGAGCCGTGTAGGCCCGGCTTGAGCTCGCCGCGATAGACGGAGCCGAAGCCGCCCTGGCCGAGGCGGAGGGACGGGGAGAAATTGGAGGTGGCGCGGCGGAGGAGGGAGTACGAGAGGCTGTGGGGGGGCTTCTTGGAGTCGGTGTCGGAGGCGCTCGGCGCCGTGCGCTTCCTGCTGATCCGCCGGAAGCAGAGGACGAGGAGGAGGAGGATGGAGAACGCTGCCGTCAGGCAGCCGGCCAGAGGCGGGAGGAGATGGTGGGTCCGGTTGGGAGGCGACGTCGGCGGGGAAAGGAGGCGGCGGGAGGGCATGATGGTAATTTTATTGGTGAAAGTGGTGTTGGGGTTTAATGAGCACAACGCATGACAGACAAAACAAAAGGGGGAGAAAACTGCTTTCAGTGTTTACAGCTTCAGTGTGAAGCCATTTTTTGGTGGATCTTGCTTTTTTGCATTCTGTATTTTCTTTCGTATTTGTGAATAAAATTTCGCAGGTTACCGTAATTACGCAGGTTGCTGTAATTTAATTGCACATTAAATAAATAAAAAAATTCGCCCGTTGAATTTTTCGTTACTTTTTGGTGGTGATCAATCAGATATTCAGATGGCTTTTCATTTTCTGATTACTGTAAATAAATATTTTTTTTCATTTTTCTTTCACCTGTAATTTATTATTAATTTCTTTTCTAATTATTAAAAAGGAAAATAGTGAGTGGGGCCACTTGTGCGAATTCAATAAATGCTGCTGCAATTGGTTGTCTGGTTGGTTGTAGTTTTTTCCTTCGTAAAATTGCACTTTGGCCCCAGTACGAGAACGGTAATTTTGCACTTCCGCCTGTTTTTTCCTTGAGAATTTCGATCATATTAGTTGATTATACAAAATATTTAGTCAATAATTAGTTGTTTGATATATAAAATTAATTTATTTACCATCTCTTGCTCCAAAAAAATCCGAAATTGGTTTTTTAAATCTAAAGAGTTGTTTCAAGCTGTCACTTTCCAAAAAATAAAATTAGAGAGATTTCAATTCAGCCCGAAAATGTGTTTACCAAATAGTCTAATTACATTGCTCTTCTTCTTACACCAATTCTCCCCTTATGTAGGGTCAATAATGTTTGTTAAATGATTTTCATTATTGGCCTCTTTTAGTCTTTTTTCTTGATCAACTGGTCATATTGCTAGCTCTGGGTCACTGAAGTTAGTCATCTAGCCTTGATAGGGATAAATTATCACCTAAACACCACATATTCACACTACATCAATCAATTAATTTAGCAGCTAATTATCTGAATAAACAAAACTATAATAAGTAATATACTATATAAATTATAAAGATAAACATTATACTATGATTTGAACTGGGCAGTAATATTATAGATCATATTGTATAACTGAAATATCAAATTACAAAATGACATTATAACAGTTATAACAAACACTCAAATTTCATGGTTAGAAAATTAGGGATAGGTGAGGAGTAGGTTGCTTTACTTTGTTTGTTCCCTTAAACTAATTGTATTTTTATTGAAATGATTCATAGTCCTTATCCTAGCTTAGAATTAATAGTAAGACTGGTTAGATAAGTTAGTCATACTTTTTTCAAAGACATGCATGTTTTGTAATTGAAATGTTATATTTTAAATATAATATAAACAAAAGTATGACATTTTATAATGTAATTGTGGATTTTTGTTAAAAAAAATGTATGATAAATTAATTAATCCACGTAGCCACACTATATTCTCACACAAGAATTGTGATGCATCAAACAAAACAACCATGACTCCATGAATTTAACACATCCATACACATGGCTGAAGGACCTTTTGAATGCTAAGTCATTTTTATTATTCCATCATTTCCATGGCCATAATGCTTATAGTGGGTCGACAACTAACACATTTAAAGCTGTAATTATCAGTTCTTGAGTAGGTAGGAAATATTATTGGCTAAAAGGGACAATTTAGGTGTAATAATGGGGTTAGGGCTGATTATTATTTTGTTGTGAATATTCAACATACTCTTTACTTATATTTTCAGAATTTTATTACCACTTAAATTTAGAATAATATAAAAAAATCATACTGCTGGTAAAGATTTAAAAGCATAGCTTAACTCTAACTTACAAATATCAATAAAAAAAATAGTCTTATTACCAAATACCAACATAAATTACATTGCTTGTGTGGTTACAACTATCTATTCTTTTTTCATCATAATGAAGGGAAAAGATAAAGTGAAAATCTTAATTAACAAGCTTTATTCCTTTGCTAAAAAAAAAAAATATGAAGCTCCTGAAATGGAAGGGGAAAAAAGGTTGAATTGACCATTATGCCTCACTGTTTATTATTTGAAACTTTTTAATGAATGGAAGCTTTTCCCTTTCTTTTCATGCCCTTTCTCTTTTCCCTTCTTTGCTTTATTTTCTTCTTCTTGGTGTTATTTTTCTTTTCCATATCTTTTCGGTTTG